ATTTCTGTATATTAATTTTGTATCCTGAAAATTTGTAGAATTCTTTGATGAGTTCTAGTTTTCTGCTGGTGTCTTCAGGATTTTCTATGTATAGTATGTCATCTGCAAACAGTGACAGTTTTACTTCTTCCTTTCCAATTTGGATTTATTTCTTTTTCTTCTCTGATTGCTATGTTAAGGATTTCCAAAACTATATTAAAAACAGTGCCAAGTGAAAAAAGAAATGAGAAAAATAAAATAATATCATTTACACAAATTAATAATATATACATACAAAACAAATATATATACCTTTTCACAAGGACACAAATTTTTTAAAATCTATACTAAAAGGGTTGCATATGGAAGAGAGAAAGGACTTACTAAAGGGGAATAAAACTGAATATATTTATAAATAAAAAATGTAACAGAGTTTTTGCATGGATGAATAATGATAATGCATTATGAACTGAAGAAGGTGTTAACTCTCTGCATTCAAGGAAGAAGAAAGAAATAAGGAAAGGAAGGAGGGAAGGAAAGAAGGAAAAGAAAGTCTCTGTTGATCATAATTCATTACAATTCAGGAAAATGAAGCATTTTAAAAGTTCTCAATTTCCTGATTAGTCTATCATAGTCTGAGTACAAGTGTTTAAAAAGGAAAAGACAGCCTAGAGGAGCACACAAAGGCAAATCAACTCAGTATCATACAATTTCTATTTCTGGGCCAGACAGATGCCCTGGAGAAGAAAATGGCAACCCTCTCTCAAATTCTTGCCTGGGAAATCCCGTGGACTGAGGATCTATGCGGGCGACAGTCCACGAAGTCATAACGAGTCAGATTCACCTTAGAGACTAAACCACAACCACCACCAGCAGCACCACACTTAGTGAAATAAGTCAGACAGGGAAAGATAAATACTGTATGTTATCTCTTGGGCTTCCTGATGGCTCAGCAGGTAAAGAACCCACCTCCAGTGCAGGAGACACAGGAGATGTGGGCTAGCTCCCTGGGTCTGGAAGATCCCCTGGAGGAGGAAATGGCAATCCACTCCAGTATTCTTGCCTGAAAAATCACATGGACAGAGGAGCCTGGGGAGCTACAGTCCAAAGGGTTGCAAAGAGTTGGACAAGACTGAGCAATTAGGCACACACAAGCACCCATTTCTTATCTATTATATGTGGATTCTCAAAATGAAACAAACTAGTGAATATTTTTTTTAATAGACTAAAAAAAAAAGTAGACTCACAGATGTAGAAAGAAAACTAGTAGTTACAGTGAGGAGAGGGAAAAGGGGAAGCACAAGACTAGGGATCAAGAATGAGGTGTGTACTATTATATAAAATAAACAAACTACAATGATACACTGTACAACACAGAAAAATGATACATTGTACAACACTAAAAACTATAAATGGTTATAACATTTTTAAAATGAGAATCAGTGAGACTTCCTTGGTGTTCCAATGGTTAAGAATTTGCCTGCCAACAAAAGGAACACTGATCCTTGAAGATTCCTCATACCTCGGAGCAACCTATCCTGTGCTCCTCCTCGAGAAAAGTCACTGCGATAAGAATCCCAAACACTACAATGAAGAGTAGTCACCACTCGCCACAACTAGACAAAGCCTGCACATAGCAACGAAGACTAGTGTAGCCAAAAATAAAAATGAATACATAAAATAAAAAGAAAATTACTTTTTAAAAATCAAAACTATGTTGTACTATGAAATTTATATAATATTGTAAGTCACCTCTACTGCAAGAAAAAATAAAATTAAAGAAAGAAATTTAAATTTTTAATTTTGAAATCTTCTTTGACCCATTTAATAACTTTGAAAATTTTACTGTGTATTCCTTAGAATTTTCTATGTACAAAATTATGGCATCTGCGAATAAGATAATTTTATTTCTTATTTTCCAATCTGAAGTTCTTTTATTTGTTTTTCTTGTTTAATTGCTCTTGTACCAACCTCTAGGACAATGTTAAATAGAGACATCCTCCTCTTGTTTTTGACCTTAGAGAGGAAGTTTTCAGTCTTTCCCTGTCAAGGATGATATTATCCAATGATTTTTAATAGATACACTTCATCAGGTTGAGGAATTTCCCTTTCATTTTTAGTTTTCCAAATGTTTGCAATAGGTAGCTTAGATTTTGTCCAATGTTTTTCTGCATCTATTGAGATCATCATGTGTTTGCTGTCCTTTATTTTACTAATATGTGTACACTATTGACTGATTTTTATCTATTAAAGTACCCTTGCATTTCTGGGATAAACCCCACTTGGTGGTGTTATCCTTTGTATATGTGCCTGATATAGTTTTCTCAGCATCTTCTTGGGTATTCTTGTATCCCTATTTTTATCAGAGAAATTGGTGTGCAGTTTTCTTTTCTTGTGATATCCTTGTTTTGAATTGATATCGGGGTAATACTGACCTCTTAGAAAGAACTGGAAAGTGATCTTTTCACTGGCATTTTTAGAAGCTTGTGAATAATTGGAGCTAATCCTTCTTTAAATGTTTCAAAGAAATAATTAGTAAATACACATGCTCCTGGGCTTTTTTTGTGGGAACTCTTTCATCACTAATATATTTTTTAATTGCTGTTTACATATTTGTATTTTCTATTTCTTCTTGACTTAGTTTCTGCTTTCCGAGAATTTTTTTTTTCAAGGCACTGATGTTATTGCTGATTCTTATGACTCCCTTGCACCTAGGCAAAAATAAAAATCTTCCCTTCTTTTCTCCCTTAAAGTTATCCTTTAATACCATGGAAATCTCAGCTGTTTATGGCTAGTTGTCCACACCAGTTATCTGATGTGGCCGAACTCATTGCCTGATCAATTTGTTTTGTACAAAGCTGGCTTTAGTTTATAATACTACTAGTTGATCAATCACAATGAAGCCACATACTCAGCTAAATGTATTTCACAGAATTTGAACTTTGTTCTGCCTTTTTACTTGATAAAATAATAAAACTCTGCTTTAAAGGAAGAAATTTTTTAAGTAAAGATGTTTGTTTCAGCTTAAAATTCTATATTCATACAGTACCCTCAAAAGATCCCACAATAAGAAATGCCTGGATTTTTTTGTGTACTTGGAACTTTCTAACACATGAGGAAGGCAAAGTTTCATTCATATGAAAGTCTTGGCTAACAGAGTTCAAACACAGGAAACAGTTTAAACTCATCATACTGGTGACTTAAAGTTATTGATGGAACTCCTAAACATATTCATTCTGACTTATTCTGGTCCAGATGGGCTGGGTCAAAGGCAAACCAGTCTTAAACGAGGAGAAACTGTGAGTTCTAACCCAACACAGCACCTTACAATACGATCAGAACTCCCAACTTCCAGCTTCTCCTAAGGACTCACTTCTCACAGCTCTGTCCTCAGGGTCAGTACAGTATGAACAGACAAACATATCAGTTCTTAGTTTCTCCATGAACATAAAAGGAATTGGACAACATTTCTTGTACCCCAACTTACCCAGCTGTTAATAGAAGGATTGGAACCTATCTACCTGTCACAGGGCTAGGGTAAGAGGGATGACACACCTTAGTCCCTTGGGACACACCAAAAAACAGAGACTGTGGTTTAGAGGAGGACAAGCTTTGGGTCATTTTGGGTGAATGGTGATGTCCATCTCCTGCACTAGTCTGGGCCAGGCTATGAAGATTGGTTCTTTTATCTAATGGACAGGAACCAACACAGAGGACTCTCTGGACTTCCCAACTTTTGTCAGATTCAAAAATTATACATTGAACTTCTATTTTGGAAAACGGAGAGGCATAGATACAGATGTCCTTGGAAGACCACAATACCTACGACAATCTATCATCAAATCACTCCCAAACATAAAAATCTAAATCACCCAGTATTTTTGACAATCTAAAATTCTTACTAATAATATTATGCCTTAAATTAGAAGTAATTTTTAAATCAAGCTAAAGAGAAATACACACTCACATCAGACAGAGTAAAAATCAAATGCACATTATGCACATGCAGTGTTAGATGTGACAGGACCTATGTCCCACTAGAGCCAATTATCTTCAGATGGGACCGATTTCTTCAATGATCCACTTTTCTTTATTATTAATGTACTCACTTTCCTTTTATACCTTTCTAATTATCAGTTCAATTAGTCTTTGCTACATAAAATGTCAACCACAATTTCTGTTACCAGAGACAACATTGGAATCTCCGACACTCAAGATCACACTAAGGTGAAAATACATCTTATATGGGAGGAAAGAATTTGCTACTGGGATCACCTGCCTTTGAGCAATTTGTTGGTTCCAGGACTTAGCAACAGAAATTACAGAAAATAAACTTTACAAATCTTAGTTTTATAATTTGTTTCTATTTCAAGAAAGATTTAAAGTTTATTAATAATGTTTGATACTGCTGGAAAATGTTACAGTGATGAGCCCCTAAATTTTTTTGAGTTCACTGAGCTTTTGTACACTAAAACCAATACATCCAAAGAGGAACTAGTGAGTATATAACTGACTCATTCACATAAATAAATCACAACAATGAAACACCATTAAGTTATAGTATGACTTTATATGATTTTCAGAAATAATTTGTAATTGGAATGTCAAACCTTGAGTGTCAAATGGGAAAGAAGGGTTTCTATCTGTTTCTCCTGAGGTGTCATAACCTTCAAAAATAAGAATATATCATGTACAGATATTATAAAATCTGGCAACATTTTTATTATTTTATTAAAGACTTTGTATCTTATGATTTATGTATAATTTGCTCCATAAATATTGTTTGAATGCATTTAAGACCAATCGGTAGAAAAATCACAGAAGATATCTTCAGCACAATATAGAGAATACATGAAATTTTCAAATAGAAGAAGGTATTGAATAGCAAAATAAGACAGTACCCATCCAGCTGAAACGTAGCACAAGATAGATTGCCATATGGAGAGTTTCTCGAGAATAGATTTTGCCAATGGTGGGAAACTGAACTAGAGGATCAAGAGGATCCACTTAGCCTCCAGACTCTATTTCTTCAACCTCACCCTAGACAGTGTGTCCCTCAGAGCCTGGTGGACCTGCTTGTTCCGTAGAGTATAAATGACAGGGTTCAGCAGTGGGGTCACCACTGTGTTCACAAGGGCAGCCTCCCTGTTGGAGTCCAGCCTGCTCACCTGCTTTGGTTTCAAGTAAATAAACACACAGCTGCCGTACATCAGAGAGAGGACAATGAGGTGAGAGGAGCAGGTGGAGAAAGCTTTCTGTCGCTCCTTGGCTGATGGCAGTCGCAGGATTGTGACTACGATATTGCTGTATGCAATAATGGTTATGATGAGGGGTAGTAGAATGACAAATGAAGTAACAAAGAAGAAATGTATCTCAACAGATCTCGTGTCAGAGCAGGAGAGATGAATTAAGGAGCCAAGGTCACAGAAGAAATGAGAGATGATGTTGGGGCCACAGAATGATAACTGGGAAACTCTGAGTATCATGCCAGTGAAGAAGATGAAGGACAAGGAACAGCACAAGAATATCAGAAGGAAACTAACCCTCAGGTTCATGATGGATGCATAGTGCAGAGGCTTGCAAATGGCCAGGTATCGATCCAATGACATCACAGCCATGAGAAAGAAAATCACTGCACCAAGAAATAAAAAGAAAAAGGTTTGTGTGAGACAAGCAGTAAAGGGAATTGCTTGCCTTTCTGAAAGGAAGATGGACAGCAGTTTAGGAATAACTGTGGTGATGAAACAGCATTCGCAGAAGGAGAAAGCACTCAGTAAAACGTACATCGGCGTCTGGAGGCGATGGTCAGCCCAGGTGATGATGATTATGACCATGTTTCCCACGATAGAGGCCAGGTATGCCAGCAGGTGCACCAGGAAGAGGAGGTTCCCCAAGTGCTGGACGGCAGGAAACGCCTCCAGAATGAACTCCTGGATGCTTGTCTCATTTTTTACTCCCATTGTTATCTCTGTTTCTCTGACTCTCATCATGCTCTGCTTAACCTGTGGAATGGAAAATACTATCACTGAAAAAAAATTTAAATGATGACAAGTCTTAAAAAAAAAAAACCACTACTTTCAGCTGTATTTGTGAAGCAGCGATCATTTCATATTTTTAAAATGTCTTACTATAAATGATGTTTTACTATTATAACATTATTATATTATCTATACTAATTATTAAATTAAAGATTCATTTTTTATTGCTGTAATTATTTTTAATGTGTCACTTAACTCTTCTGGAAAATAACATCTGAATAATTGGCTACAAACTAAACAGGGCAAAATAAAAATAATTGTTCATAGACACATCTGCAACTGATAGTTAACAGTGAAAGCTGTCATCCTGCACAAAATGCATCTCATGGGCTCACAGTGTTCATTTCTATGCTTCAGGTATGACATACAGTGCAGGAACCCTCCTACGCACTGAACCGAGCGCTTTGAAAATGTTAAGTGTGAAAGAGCCATTTTCTTATTACCATGTTCCAAATCAATTATTTTCCTAAACCTGTTGAGTCTGAGTTCTTCTTTCAAGACGCCAGTGTGAGCAGTAAAGCTGCTATACTATAATAATATATTATAATATATAATATAATATAATAATATATTATAATAATACTATAATATTATAATGACACAGTCTGTGGTTTAAGTAAACCATTCCTAAAATTGGGGAGGAATGGTTTCATGACTTGTTAATCAGATTCAATGAACACACATTCAATGGGTGAATCGGACTCCCTCACACTCTATCTACCTAGCAGAATGGTTGTGTTTCCTTTTGCTATTCATCATAGATTACTCATCAACATTCCTTTTCTGGGAATAAATTTTTACCTTGGAGGTATTCAGTGTGGCAGAATTAAACCTGTATTTAATTGCAATCACTAGGCGAAACTTTGTCTTTATTTTTTTAAAAAAATGCCAAAGCCTAACTAGAAGCTAAGTATATTGATAGAATCATTGGGGAATGGGTCTGGGCATCTGCTGTGAATCGGTACTTAAGTGAATAAGAAACCATAATTTAATTGTATTTTACTTACTTCCTTTTGAACAAAACTGTTCCTTTAACTGGTGGCTCAGATGGTAAAGAATCCATCGGCCTTGCGGGAGACTTGTATTCGATCTCTGGGTCGGGAAGATCCCCTTGTGACGGGAATGGCTACCCACTCCAGTATTCTTGCCTAGGAATCCCGTGGACAGAGGAGCCTTGTGGGCTCCAGTTCATGGGGTCGCAAACTGTCGGACATGACTGGGTGACTAGCAATTTTTTTCATTACTTTAACTATGCATGATCCACAACCGATACTTAAAATAGCCAGTCTCTGGTTAAAATATCTGAGATGTTAGATTGCAAGTTATCCCATGATCAAGTACTCACCACGAAACAGTTCACAGGAAACAGTATGTTGTTGACAATGTTTCTCTCTATTCTTAAAACAAAGCAGGCTAATGTAACATTCTCCTAGGCTAATGGAAAAGGGGAAAAACACTCTTAGTTGAGATATACCTTTCTTTCACCTAATACAAAATTAATGGATGCCTTATGTTCTACATTAGTAGGAAAATATTAAGGTTCCATTAAAAAATACATTTCCAAACTCTGGAGGATTAACAGGCATAGTTTTTTGCATGGCAATCTGACTGATAAATTCTAGACCTTTAAGACAAAGAAGCTGCCTCAATCATCCACTAGCACTTTCTGATGTTACTATTTGGAATACCTGGACATATTTATTTCCATTCTACAATGCATCATGAACAACAAACTTTCTTGGTTTTGCATCCATCCCAGAAGAGAATCAAAAAGAAGAGACAACAAAGGTTAATTTCTTTGTTTAATGACCTTGTTATCAGTCACTTCCCAATGAACCTGTCACCCCACCAAATATAGGTGAGGATCACAGCAGTCATAAGCGAGAACACATTCAAATGCCCTTATGATATAATTATCACAGGCTTATTTATCATCACCAATGAGGACATATTGGGTCCAAAGGACACACCTCTGGAACTTTAAAATTCATTAGAGGGGATTTTTTTTTTTAATGGGATAGGAACTACAATCAGAACAGAGTCTCAGATGACATTTAATTGCTTCATATTTGGAAACAGGAAATTCCAGCTGACATGTATCATAACTACCCCTTCACTGCATGTGGTAAGACACTACTTTGATTCTCAGTAGGCTACACAGTCCTCTGTGATAGTCCTCAAAGGTACATTTTCTACAACTGCCTGTTGTTTAGTCTCCGAGGTGTGTCTCTTCTGTGACCCCATAAACTAGCCCACCAGGCTTCTCTTTCCATGCAACTTCCCAGGCAAGAATACAACAGTGTGTTGCCGTTTCTTCTCCAGTAGATCTTCCCTACCCAGGAATTGAACTTGTGTCTCCTGTGTCTCCTGTATTGGCAGAAGGATTCTTTACCACTGCGCCACATAGGAAGACTTGAAGTCGTATAGGAAGGTTTTCAACTATCAAGCAAAGTATTTTTTATAAAACTCTTGCTAATTTCTAGCTTTTGTACATTTTTAATCAAGAATGTAAACTCTATACGTCTTCCTTGGTGACTGAGTGGCAAATAAAACAACCCACCTACAATGCAGGAGAAACGAGTTTGATCTCTGCGTCAGGAAGATCCCCTGGGGAAGGAAATGGCAACCCACTCCGGTACTCTTGCCTGGGAAACCCCATGGACAGAGGAGCCTAGCAGGTTACAGTCCAAAGGGTTGCAAGGACTCAGACAAGACTGAGCAATTATGCACACACAAGCACCCATATTTTATCTCTTACATGTGAATTCTAAAAATGAAACAAACTAGTGAATATTTAAAAAAATAAACCAGACTCACAGATGTAGAATAAAAACTAGTAGTTCCCAGTGGGGAGAGGGAAGAGGGAAAGGGCAAAATAGGCTTCAGGAATAAGAGGTACAAACAACTATGTATAAAATAAATAAGCTACAATTATAGACTGTACAACACAGAAAAAAATAGCCCATATTTTTAAAAAAACAATAAATTGAGCATAATATTTTAAAAATGTGAACCACTGAGACTTACTTGGTGAACAGTTGGTTAAGAATCTTCCTGCCAATGCCGGAAACACAGGTTTCATCCCTGTTCCTTGAAGATTCCTCATGTCTCAGAGCACCTAAGCCTGTACACTGCAAACACTAAAGTCCGAGCACCTAGATCCTGTGATCCACAATTCACCAATGTTATCTTTGATTCTTGTCCCTTGCTTGGACCGCTCAGGCAAAAAATAAAAAGCTTCCCTTTTTTCTCCCTTAAAGTTCTTCTTTAGTACTGTGGAAATCTCTACTGTTTAGGGCTTAGTTGTCTAAACAAGTTATCTGATGTGGCCAAACTCAGTGTCCAACCGTTGTGTTTCGCACAAAGCTGAATTTAGTTTATAACACTACTAGTTGATCAATCACATCGAAGTCACAAACTCAGCTAGAGGTATTTCACAGACTTTGAACTTTGTTTTGCTTTTTTTCCTGTCTAAAATAATAAAATTATGCTTTAAGCTGATATTAAGGAAGAAAATTTTAAATGGAAATATTTCTATCTTTGTTTTAGCTTAAAATTTTATTTTCATTAATAGCCTCAAAAGATCCCACAATAAGAAATGCCTGCAATTTTTGTGTGTGTACTTGGAGCTTTCTAACACATGAGGGAGCCAAAGTTTTATTCCTATGAAAGTCTTGGCTAATAGAGTTCAAACACAGGAAACACGATTTAAACTCATCATACTGGTGACTTAAAGTTATTGATGGAACTCCTGAACATATTCATTCCGACTTATTCTGGTCCACACGGGCTAAGCAGTCAGAGGCAAGTCAGTCTTAGGCAAGGAGAAACTGTGACTTCTAACCCAACACAGCACCTTACATCTGATCAGAACTCCCAACTTCCAGCTTCTCCTAAGGAGTAATGGGTGACTTCTCGCAGCTCTGCCCCCTGACTCAGTACAGTATGAACAGACAAGTGTACCAGCTCTTAGTTTCCTCCTGAGTATAGAAGGAACTGGACAACATTTCTAGTACCCCAACTTTCCCAGCTGTAAATAGAAGGATTGGATTCTATCTACCTGTCTTAAGGCTGTGATAATAGGGATGGCACATCTTACTCTCTTGGGACACACTAAGACAGAGACAGTAGTTTAACTGAGCACAAGGTTTGGGGCATTTTGGGTGATTGCTGATGTCCATCTCAGGCACTAGTCGGCTAGGCTATGATGATGGGTTCTTTTATCTATTCAACAGAAACCAACACAGAGGACTCTCAGGACTTCCCAACCTTTGTCAGATTCAAAAATTACTCATTTAACTTCTATTTTGGAAAAGTGAGAGACAAAGGCACAGATGTCCTTGGAAGACTGTAATTCCTAGGACAACTTATCATCAAATCACTCCCAAACATAAAAATCTAAATCACCCAGTATTCCTGACAACATAAAACTCTTCCTAATAATATTATGCATTAAATTAGAAGTAATTTACATATCAAGCTAAAAGGGAAATATGCACT